CTTCTTTAGGAAGCCTTGACCCCTTTTGTTAGCTTCTCTTGGAAGCTTAACACTTTGCCTTGTCTATTTAAGGAGACCTTCCTCCTCCTTTGAAGGGGTTCAACAAAACCAGTTTTGGACACATGTAAGCATGGTCCTACTTCTTATCATATTTTGGACTCAAAGAAGCATGACTTTCAATCCTTGAACCGTCAATGGTACATGGTGGGTCAAAGGACCGAATTTGCCACTTGATATGAAAATGCATGCAACGAACAACATGAAAACCGGGGCCTTATCAAGTTGGAGTCAAAGGTCCCGACGACCGGGGATCGAGGCACATTACATCACTTGGAGTATGAATGGTCCTTGATTCCCACACTTAGTTTGACACCCCAAACCAAGTAAGTGAAATGCATGTGATGCTCACAAGCCTCAAATATGTCATGCCACCAAGATATAAAACACAACAAGCAATATGCAATTATCATGACAAAATGTATGATACCAAGCGCACAAGATACAAACATGATGCAAACATGGAGCAAATTGACCATGGAATTGATATGCTACAAAGCTTAATGGAACAAATATGCAACAAACATGGAGCGAGCATGCAAGATGGCTTGAAGTGGCAAAGGGGCAGGCCCTTACCCTTCTCAAAACAGTGGCAAAAAGTGCTTAAAATGATAGACAATCAACTCATGTTGACAAGCAAACTTATGGTCCCAAAGCTAAGGCATTAAAGGAGACAACTTACCCTCACCAACATGGCCATTCATGGCATGATTAAAACAAGTAAAAAAAAAAAGAATTTATGCATGCAAGATATGACCCCAAAACTCCTAATATGGCAACTAAAATAAGCCCCATGAAACAAATACACCAAGGCTCATTCTTAGGCATAGGAAGACACAACCTCAAGATATGGAAAAGACCATGCATGCACACATGTAGGCATGATTTTTGGACTAAAATGACATGGCAAACAACCTCCACTCATCAAAATAGACCAACCAAAGCACTTATGACTCATATACTTGAGGGCTCACAAGCCAAAATACATAGCAACCATAACAAATATGCCAAACATGACCAAGTTGATAACCAACAGATTTTTAAGCATGGAAAAACAATGCTAAATGCTTCATGGAACCAAGCCAACACACACAAAAATCATGGCCTAATCATGGGATGTATTTCTAAGCAAGATAGAGCAATACAAAGCAAGTATTACAAGCATACAAGAGGGCCCAAATCCGACCAAAAACAGAGGTTATGTAAGACCTAAGAGGCCTAAAAAAGTACTGAAATGAAGCCAAGAAACAACAAGCACACATGCTATCCTTTTGTGATGAAAAGATCAAAATGCTGAAGTGAACAAAACCTTATCAAAGAGGCACCAAAATAGGCCAAACAAGGCCTATGAGGGTGAGTTTGCAATCTAACCACAAAGTGACCTTAATGAAAGTGTTAGAGCAGGAAAATATGAGCCTTTTTTATGTTATACACAAGAGCCAAAACAATAAACAAAATAGGTAGAAAATCAATGCAAGTTTGGGGAATAAAAGGGAAGATGCTCACCCTTGAAGAACCCTTGAAGAACAAATGGTCTAACCCTCCTTCTTTGGATCAAAACCAGTCCAAAACTCAAGAAACAACTTCCCCAAGTCCCTCAATCTCGGACTAAGGTGTAATAGTGTGTGTAATGGTACAAAAGTAAGGTAAAACACACCTTTTGGGCCAAGAAACACACACAAGAAGGGAGAGGGAGAGAGGTATAAAGACAATATGTATCTATATCTCTAAAGGCTGATTTTGCTTCTGTTTTTCTAACCTAGAACCAAGAGGAAATCCTCTCTCTTATAAGGATCCCTCTTGCAAAGCTTATTCAACAAGCTTGGCTAGAGGGAAATCCCTCCATACACGTGTATGGAGGGGAAAGGAGTTGGTGCCAGCTATCACAGCTGGCACAAAATATCTCCATAAAGTGGAGGAACAGTGGTCGGCTGCCCAAAAAAGCTATTCCGGCAAAAAACAGTGCCGACCGGCAACAAATTATGCCGACCGGCAATAAAATGGGCCGACCGGCAAAAAAAAAGTGCCGAGGGAAAAAAAAGCCCAGCCGGTGGCCTCCAGCCACTGCCGGTGGTGTATGGGGATATCTCACAAGGCATTCCCTGCCCCTCCAAGGCAAAACACAAGTGTTCGGTGCAAAACCAGACACTAAACAGTCTAGCCTAGATTTACTATGTGATGCGCACAGCATACAAGTATAGACTGGATCGCCTGAATTGGAGTTCGGGGATTGGTGCATTGTAACTCTGTTTTTGGTTGCATAGTCCATACCATGTTTGCTTGGGATAGGTGTCGGGCAATGCTCTTTTTTGTGGCCTTGAATGCCTTCTATTTCGCACCCATTCCCTAGCATATTTCGGCATCATTCTTCGCATGCTTTTCAGAGTTTAACATGAGTGTTTAACGTCCATGTATATCGCCTTCAAGTATGCCTAGAGTTGCCCCCTTCCATGCTTAGATGATAAACCTTGTTGTGTGCATGTTTGCATGTATAATTGGTGCTCTTTTACACCATCTTTGGCCACTGTTTTTGGGGCATGGCTGAGGCCTCCCATTTCAGTTTAAGACCACCCTTGTACATAATTGCATACTTGGCATGATGTATATTGCATTACATTAGTTGCATGCTTGCATTATATCTTGTTTGCATTTTCGCATATTGCTTAGCTAATGGCATCACATGACCTTGTTGCATACTTGGCATACTAATGCAACATCAGATTAGCTTGCATGTCTTGGTAGTATTGCATTGTATTAAGCTAGCATGCTCATATTGCATTACATTTAGTTGCATCATTTTGCATTATATATGACATACATGCATTGCATTAGGTTTGGTTTGGGGTGTCAAACCAAATCTGATGAATGGGATGCATTCGTACTTGAAGTGATGTAACGCGTCTCACTCCTCGATCGCCAATGCCCTTGATCTCAACATGATAGGGCATGAGGCATTCATTTCTTTTGTGCATGCATTTACATTGAATGGCAAACTTGGCCTCTTAGGCCATCATGCATCAAAATGCATAATTGATGGCCCGAGGGTCGAGAGCCACGCTCCCTTGAGTCCATTGCATGATAGGGAGTGTGGCCATGCTCACATTTGCTTGAAAATTCCATGTCATACACTGCTTACCCTCTGCTGTTGTCAACTGTAGGATTCTGCAGGAAGAAATAGTCGACCGGCCATCTCTAGTGCCGACCGGCTATCAGTGTCCAGCCGATAATCCCATTTGCATGGTCGGTGGCCTTTTGTTCTGGCCGGTGGCATCATCATATGCCATTTTTAAATTAGCCGAGCCTATTCTAGTTGCATCCTGTATGTGTTGCATTAGCCATCTTAACATGAACTAGGATCATGCATTTGATTACTAACTAGTTTCTGTTTTGGCTTGGAGTACTAGGTAAGCTCTTATGCTTTAGCATCTTGCATGCGTGTGAGTGTTGTCATATTAGCATGCTTACCATGAGGCTACGTGCTTATGTGATGTAACTGCCTGAATGCCTATAGGTGAAGGTTGGGTTATTTGAATTGGGACAATGCATTGGATGCGAGTTTTAAGCCCACTTGGAAGTGGCAAAACCATATTTTCTAAGCCCACTTGAGGGTGGCAAAATCCATGTCTTAGCCTACTTACGGTTCGGGCTTTGGAGGGTGGCAAAATCCATGTCTTAGCCTACTTACGGGTAGCATCATCAAACCATTTTCAAACAAACAAACATGAAATGTTTCGTTCCAATTCAGGCGACCCAGTCTATACTTGTTTGCTGTGCGCATAACATAGTAAATCTAGGCTAATAACCGGAATAAGAACACGTAATATTTTCAAAAAAAAGATATCATGGTTAGTAGAGGCCGATCTTTGATCGGGTGAGCGGGGGTGCTCATAGCTGGCCTTTCCCAATCGTATCCAAGTTCCCGAGCCGAGGCAACTTTGGTGATGACGGACACGTGGCCTTAGGCAACGAGTCAGGGTTTCCTAAATTCCCTCATAAAAAATATTTAGATGGCGACTCTGTATCTGGCAAAACAGTCCATGTTTGGCACTTCTTTCTAAAAATCTATTTTCTCAAAACGATTTGCCAGATTTAGTCTCTTTGGTTCAGATTTAGAACCGTGACAATTTGAGAGTCCGAACTGTAATGACCCACAGACGAACAGAACGGGACTCATCCTCCCGGGGCGTTCGGGGACGTCTACACACCCCCATGGGTCTAAGGTATGTCTTTGATGCTTTTGATATTCTGTCTAGTGAGTTAACCATTATTGGTTATCTTTGAGAGATATTAAGTACTGACTTGATCGTCGGAGTGCCCTCGGGTGGACGAACCACGGCCGGAGACTCTTCTTTCTGTTGCAGGACGTTCGGGCTTAATCTATTCTGCCGGTGCTCTCTAGCTGGGTACCTGTTTGGCAGTGTGGTCAGAAAATCACCCACACAGACCTTATTTGATAGATCTTAATAAAAGGATTCTAAAAATACTAATTTTATTAAAAATCGACATTTAGGTCAAAAGTTATGTTATTTTAAAGTTTAATATTTTAGAAATAGTGGTATATGTTGGACTTTTCAAGAAAATTATTTTGCACTTATCCTGAATGTATTAAAGTTTTATTACGAGGAAATTTTAAACAAATCCTTTTTTTTTTAAATAAAAAAATGAAATATTCATGACATAAAGACGGTGAAGCAAAGGTAGTTCAATCATGAAAATGATCACGAAAGATTTGTGACCTTTGAATTACACTTAGAATAAAACACCACATACTAGTCAATGTAATCTAACGGTCACAAATCTTTCATGATCATTTTCATGAAAAAAATTTCATGATTCCTAACATTTCTCTTTTTATATTATAAATCTACATCCATTCAAACAGCTCCAATCTTTTCTCCTACACTTGGTATAAAAGAGGAGCATCATCTTACCCACGTACGCATGTATTCCATTTTTAAGCTTCTCTGACAAATCTATCTATCAATGGCACGACCCAGAAGAAATCCACATTCCTTTCTTCTCACTCTTCTGATTTTTGGGCTTTTTTGTGTGAAGATTGAGACAAGTTATGAAAGAGATGACGATCAAGAAGAGTATATATCAGCAGTGGGAGATCCAGGGATGAGAAGAGATGGACTGAGAGTGGCAATAGAGGCTTGGAATCAATGCAATGAGGTTGGTGAAGAAGTTCCATTCATGGGCAGTCCTAGAGCTGCTGATTGCTTTGATGTTTTTAAAGCTAAACCTCAAGCTACTACTACAGCACCACAAACTGAAGGTCTGTTTCCACAGTTATTTTTTCTATCAATCCATGTTGTTAGATAAATTTTATTTTTCAAAATACAAGTTGTTTTGTATTTATTTTGAGGAGAAGGTTAAAAGTAAGCTTTTTATTTTTATTTTTATTTTTTTGGCTCTTTTGGGAAAAAAAAAACGTGTAAAAAATAAAGAGGCGATATAACTAAAAAGAGATTAAAAGTCAAAAATTAACTTTTAACCCTCTACCTAAAAGAAACTTGTTTTCAAAACACAACTTCAATTAAGACAGATTTTAAAGTTTGTATTTTGAAAGTACCATATTAATGACATTGTGTTTTTAAAATTAACACGACTTCTACCTTGTGTTCAATACACGCTTTCTCAAAGCAACGTGAACGAAGAAGTTTGTTTTCAAACAAAAACCTCCATTTTCACAATGAGTTTTTCTTCTTCTTTTTCCTTCTTCTTCTTTTTTTTTTTTTTTTTTTCGCTCATAACAAATTGTTTGATAGAAGTCTAATTCCGTGATTGATTCTTTTATTTCTTGTTTTTGCTGTATTAGTGTATTTGGTACTTAAAATTGTGTCATTTAAATAGAAAGCACCATGTTATCATTGGATTTTAGTACAACAACATCAAGGTTCTGTTAGCTTAACAACTATTCTCTTTTGTAGTTGAGAGAGAGGGAGTAGTTGTAGCTTGTATATAACCAAATCCAACATAATATGATTAAAAAAAAAAAAATTGTTACTAAAATGTTTTTCTTCAACTCTTTTTTATTTATTTTTAATATTTTCAACGATCTTGATCAGCGGTGGTTGTAACTAGCAAGTAACCAAATCCAATATAACATGATTACAAAAATATTTATTTTTTATTCAACTTGCTCTAATTCTTTTTCTTTTCTTTTTTATTTTTATTTTTATTTTTATTAAATGTTCTTGATTAGGGAAGGAAACCTTCTCCCTTTGCAATTGCATTCCACACATACTAGTCCATAGAGTTACAGAAATAGACAACAAGCTTGGAGTGGGACAACCTTTCCCTGGAGGGCGACCAGAGGCATTCACCGACATCAACCTATATGCTGCCGAAAAAGAGCTCTATTTAGGGTCTAAATGTCAAGTTGAAGACAAACCCAATCCATGGCAATTCTGGATGATCATGCTCAAGAGTGGCAACATGGACACTTATGCAGCCAACTGCCCTAAAAATGGTCACAGTGTTGGACCATATGGTCCTAATAACCATGAGTTCCCTTGCTTTGGCAAAGGGTGTATGAACCAACCATTGATTTATCATGACTACACCACTTTACAAGGGCCTAATATAACTACACTCAAAGGAAGGTTCTTTGGGTCATGGGACTTGGATGCTGATTTGAGGAAAGGTATTGTAGAGGAATTTTCTTATTATTCCGTGACTTGGGAGAAGGAACTTGGAAGAGGAAGTTGGGTTTTTCATCATGTCTTGAGGACCTCAACCAAGTATCCATGGTTGATGCTTTACTTGAGGTCCGATGCCACGGCTGGATTCTCCGGTGGGTACCATTACCAAACCCGAGGAATGTCAAAAATTGTAAGTCATTTTTTTGACTGATTTAAAACATGGTAAATTACATTTTCACTTCTTAAAAGTATTATCCATTTCTTACCTTGATTCTTTAAAAAAAGGTTATCACACATTGGTTTTTCAACAATCAAACTTTTTACTAGTTTGGTCACATTTGCAATGGCCATTTTTGTTGTACTAAAAAGAACCGTGGCACAGGGGACCCTAACCCAACCCATATCCGACCTGTATCCAGGGGTAACTATGAAAATATGTAAATTACACTTTGCCCAATTTGATTTCTAAACTATTTACCAATTTAGCCCAATCCCCAATGTCTGCCCAAATTTTGACGGAAAATGTCACGTTGGCAACCATATAGCACCACATAGATCCAAACCTAGCCAAACTACCTATCCTCTTCTTTTCCCTCACCTTTCTCTCCCCTTATCTTTCTCTGTTCTACTGCCTTCCACCATTGTTGACATCTGTTTTCCCATTACTCTCCCTCCACTACAACCAACCACCAATACCTCAACAGCACCATAATTAATCCGACTGTACCACCATCAACCACATTACTAGCCGTTGCCATTGCCACCACTTCTATAACCATCACGAACTCCGCATCCATTATTTCAGAAAATGTTTGATAGTTGAGAGATCAAAGAGGGAGAATTTTTTCTTCAAAAATCAAAGTGAGAAACAGACAATACTTTAGGAGTGAAAATAAAATCTACCTTAAAAATTTGAAGGTGTTGCGTTTTGTGGATGTATATGACTAGCATATTAGTCATGCTAAACATTATGTATCGTGCAGATTCCAGAATCACCAAACTTCAAAGTGAGGTTCACCCTAAATGTGATAAAAGGAGGTGGTCCAAGAAGCCAATTCTATTTGATGGACATAGGGAGCTGTTGGAAGAATAATGGGCAGCCATGTGATGGTGATGTAGCTTCAGATGTAACCAGATACAGCGAGATGATACTAAATCCAGAGATGCCTTCGTGGTGCCGAGCAGACAACCCTAGACTCTGCCCGCCTTACCATACATTCCCAAACGGTGTTCATGTTCATCGCAGTGACATAGCCAACTTCCCTTACGAGGCATATCACTTGTACTGTTCCCCTGGAAATGGAGAGCACATTGAGGAGCCAAATATTTTGTGTGATCCATTTAGCAATCCTCAGCCTCAGGAAATCTTGCAAATTGTGCCTCACAAAGTTTGGGGTGATTATGGGTACCCTACAGAGAAAGGGCAGGGTTGGATTGGGGACCCCAGGACATGGGAGCTTGATGTGGGGAGACTTTCTCAATCTCTTTACTTTTACCAGGTCAAAATTAACTTCTTTACTAATGATCTTCACTTCCCTTAATTTCCATTGATCTTGATGAAAATAAACATATCAATTACACTCGTTTATTTTAGCAGGAAACATTTTTTAATGGATGAAAAATATTTTCAGTAGAAAACCTTTTCCTATGTTTGATTATGAGGTTGAAACTAATGTGCTAGTGATTGTGGTAGCTGTTGGTGGCAATGGGGGTGGTGGTGATAGTAGTGGTGGCAACGCTGGTTTTAGTTTAGTTGACAAAATATTTTCCCCATTTCAAAGGTGAAAAACGTTTTATTTCCAAATAAGCTTGTTTCCATTTATCGGAGTAAATGTTTTCCATTGATAACAGAAAACTTTTTTGTTGTTGTTGATTTTTGTTTTCAATCGTACAAAACTTCAAAAAAATGTAGAAAAAAGTTTTGAAGGAAAATTTTCTACTTAAAAAAAACAGAGGGTTACTATATAAAATGGCTCTACAAAAAGCAGAATGGATGGGAAATGATTTAATTCACTTTAAACATGGGATATAAGGCTTTAATGAGTAAACCCAATGGTGAATTTCTTTTTTTGTCTTTTCTCTGTTTGGATAATAATAATAATGAGTAAAGTTATAAAAAAAATCTGTTTTATGTTGTTGCAGGATCCAGGGACTCCACAGGCTAGAAGGCAATGGACATCAGTCGATTTGGGAGCTGAAATATATGTAGATCCTGATCAAGTTGCAGAATGGACTGTTAGTGATTTTGATATTCTCATACCCAAGCAACAATAGCATCTGAAGATATATTCAAAAGGATTGATTCAAGAAGAATTTTGGCTTCTCATCTGAAGATATACATGGAATCAATCGATTGAGCAAAACTTGCAGCATTTCTTTTTTTTTTTTTTTTTTGGTAAATTTTTACTAAGATTTCAAAAATGTAGAACCATGATAGAAATCTGTTGTGAATAAAATTTTATTTATTTTTCAAAGAAAATGAAGTAAATGTTGGTTTGTTCATCCTGTCCTAAACACATTTTTCTTCATCCATTGTTCTGTTGTTTCTCATGTTGGCAATCCATTGATCCGCCATTCGCTGCTACAGATTTTTATGCTGGAATATATTCTGGAACTGAGAGAGTGGCATTGAAAAGAAGGCTTTGTTGGCATCAAATCCATCATTAATATCCTGTTCTCACTTTAGAAACTACTTCTCTAAAATCAGTTAATTCTTGCTCAGGTTCTTGGACACCCTAGTTCTTAGTTTGAAGTGGTTGAGAATTGCAATATTGTGAATTTTTAGCGGATTTTATTAAAATGTTTTTAAAGGAGTATACATTCTACATTGAAGTATGAAAAATAGAGTGTACAATCTTTGTAAGCTTTCTCAACATTTTTCTCAATGATACATGTTAATAAAACCCTTTATTAATTTTCACAAGAGTTTTGAATAATTTTCAGACAAAGAAAGCTTGTCTGAAAATATCCTAAAAGCTAATGCCATGTGCAACAACCTCACTGTAGGCACAAGAGCCAACTGAGCCAAGATGGGAAATTATTCAATATTTTTTGAGTATTACGTGTCTATACTTCTTAACAAATTATCATTTAATATGCCCCTCATATTTCTCAATCATCCTACACAATACGTCACCTACCCACCTTCTCCACAAACAGTAATGTTATGAAATATCATGTGTTTATATTCCGAAATTACTGAATAATTTACTTAGACAAGACACAGAAGAAAGACAATCAAGAGATAGTGCGGCTGTTGAAACCTTATTTTTACACCCCTCAAAGAATACCTAATTTCCTTATATACAAATTCAGAGTTAAAATCCTGAAACAATGAGGAAAATAGATGTAGTTTCACCCAAAAGGACAGTGAAGCACCTCAGATGAGAAGGGGTCTGCCACCTGCCGTTGCATGCTTTAGAAACTTTGGCACAGGTCAAAATAAAAGGAAAATTATTCAATAATTTTAAAGCACCGCTCTAACATGTACACCTAACTAATGACCCTGCCAAAATAAAAAAGAAAAAAGAAAAAAATAAATAAAGTAGACCTTATCTTCCACTCAACTGACTAAATTAATAACAAAAAATGGAAGTACTATGATCCCAGAGGACAAAAGATACACTTCAAATGCAGAGACATAATAGTGGCTTTTTATAAGGAGTGATGAAACCATTAGGAATAAAAAATAAACAAACAAATAAAGGAATGCTCATTAATCATAAATGAAAATGGATGGACTAGAAAGCATAGAGGTGGTATTATAAATAGGAAAAATTATAAATAAATGGAATAATTTTAAAATAATTGTATTATAGGTAAAAAAATAATAATAATGCAAATCTGACATGCGAGAAAGATTTGCAAACATAGAAAACAATTTACACCATACACATAAAACTTATACTCCCATAAAAATAAAAATAAAAATAAAAATATTTCTACTAATTTGCCTTACAAACAAAGCTATCAAGTCTTATTATCAATCATCTAATAAGTCAAGCTCTTCCTCAATTTGCATCAGCAACATTTTTGTGCTTTCTTTTTTTTTTTTTTTATAGCTAGGCTATTTTGAGCTAGCTTGTACAAAACAAACAAACCTTCCGAAACAGGTTTATTCTATGCAGTCTATGGCCCCAAGAGTTTTTTCTAGCGAAAACAGTTAAACTTAAGATGTTAGAGAGAACAAACCCCCAAGTCCCAAGTCTTAACCATCATGCCAAATCCTTGGGGTTGCATCAATAACTTGCAACTAGGATTCTCTTCAGTCCGAGATCGAATTGGAACGTGTTGTTCATCTCATGGGCTTCGACCATGGATCCTGTTTCGATAAGTCTCATAAATCTGAACAACATAATCTAGTCCACATAGGGGGTGTTTGGTGGGATTTTTTTGAGCCAACTTACGGTTTCTGGCTTTTAAAAAGTTATTTTGGACTGTTTGGTTAAACTTATTTCAAACAGTTTCTAATTCTAACAACTTATTTTAAGTCAAAAAAGTTGATTCTGAGAAGCTGCTCACCCCTTACTTCTAATTATCAGCTTCTGCTGTGAGCATGTTAATTCACGATTATACTCTTAGATTTTTTTATTTTTTTAAAAATAGAAAAAGACCCAAATGGACTATAAAATATTATTATTATTTTTTATGAGAAATGTAAACAAATAGTGAATAATAAAAAATAAAAGTTAATTGAAAAAGTTACTTCACAACTTATTTAATAAATATTACTCAGCAACTTAAATCTATAATCTAACAGTTATACCAAACGGATTAACAAATTCTGATTAAAATTTATAATCTGTTTTAACAATTGTACCAAATAAGACCATAGTGGACGGGAAAGAATCTAAGTGCTTTAGCCCTTGGCCTCTTTGGCCATACATATCCTGTCTAGTGCCTGGGTTACAGTGGATGATGATTAATTGCATGTCCCACCACACAACATAACTGCCAACACTCTGATTGTCTAAGAAGATAATGCTTCTAGATTTCAACAAGATCTGCTCCTAGTGGAATCCCATCAATAACTCATATTAAAGGGTTCCTAAAACCCACAAAACTTGATTTGATATAGATTAGTGACTATGTTTCAATTCAGTTATGTTACACGAATTTAGATAGAGTATTAGATGTAAATGCATATTTAAATATCAAACTTTATCAAATTTTAAATTTAAGGATATGTAAAATAAGGGTCATATTTTATATTTCTAATTTATTATGTGAAACAAAATTGCATTAGATGTAAAATATGGATGGTTTTTCTCATTTATAGTAATTATACAATAATATATAATATTAAATACAAATATATAAGAACTGTGATGGAAATGAACACATATCTTAACACTTTGTCCAAATATTAAGTATCAGACATAAATATTTGATTTATTTTAAAAAGTGCACGTAATGTACTAAATGGGGTAGTTTTTGCCAAAGGTGTGATGAGAATTATCCTAACCGATACAAATTTCAGCACTGAAATGTGTTGCCTGTGTTCTTGAGATGGTTGGAGTGATTTTCAAGCTTATTGGTTGGTGTCATTTTGTTGAATTTGGAAATGGTGCGATACACCACTATTTGAAAGAAGAATAATGATTCAACTTTCCACACCACTTGCACTTGCACAGACAAACTAGAAGACCATTACTTTTCTACAGCTGTATTTGGTTTATAAATTTAAGGAGAGATTTAGAAAACGAAAGAAAAAAAATGTCTAAAACTAGGTGAAACGTACATATATTTTAATCACATTTCACGTGTTTTTTTCTTCTTTTTTTTTCAAATCCCTCTCCAAATCCATGAACCAAACACAACCTTACTTAAAAGCTTCATTTTAGTCATAGGTTCAATAATAAGCACAGCTGAAGTAAGAGTTTCCCTGATGACAACTTAATGCTAAACCTGCTGGGTAGCATAGTCAAGCAATTTTTTCAGATAAAAACAGCAAATAATGTACAGCTCAATCCTTCAGTATGTTAATTGCTAAACTAAAGAAAATTTGCAATCTTCTCCATAAAACACTTCGCTATTCATTCTGGTACAGTAGACATGGCAGGACAGATCGCATGAGCTATAGATCATCTAGCCATGGGGATCAATCGGTCCATTTCGTGGGATGCAATCAAAGCAAGATCAAACTCAAAAGTCAAATTTGTTTTAGCTACCAGTGATAAGAACTGGACTCACAAGTTACATCCTTCTTCTAGATACGACTATGCAATTCATCATTGGTAAATATTTTGAGAGAACTTCCACGTAAACACGTTCTATTACTAAAGGTAATCCGAAACTGAAAACCCTCAATTACATTCAAATTTGTCATATTAAAGGGATCAAAACATATTATCCACCAAATTAAAATCAGTTTTCGCACATCACTGTATATAACATCCCTACATCAGTTGGTGAATATATTGTATCCTATTCTCCAAAATATATCAGACATACATATGTTAAATTAACAGCAAAAAACACTCAACATTCTTTCCATGCACATTATGGTATTTGTATAATTTTCTTTTCCATGTTTTATGTATCAATGAATGAATATGAGGATGATACAACAAAAATGGGAACATAAGGAATTGGTAGAGAGCAACAACGCAAGAGTGGGTATTATTACCCCTATAAAACTGGAACTGAAATTGACATCTGCACTGGTACATCACCACCAAAACTTGTATCTCTATTTGCAGCTGAGTTCCCAGCGAAGGCATACCCAAAACCCAATCCACCAAAATGCAAAGATGCATTGTCACACCTATGGAAAACTCTGGCAAGTGATGCTGCTTTTCTCCTTGCCCTCTTTGTTCCTGTGAAGAGCAAAGTCTGGAGCAAACCAGCCAATGCTGGTGCCTTCAACACCCTCTCAGTTGCAGCTGTCCCACCACTCCGACACAACTCAAGCAATGCTGCTACATTTTCTTTCCCTCTCGCTGTCCCACACCGCATCATTCCTATTAATCCTGACACTGCCATTTCCTCATTCCCAACTGCTCCGGCCCCAATTGGCTGCCTAACAATCAAGGCCAATGCACCTGCTGATTCCTCTGCAACTCCTTCAACCCCCAAAGCTGCCACCAGTGCAGTTACAGCTCCTGACTTTATCATCCTCACACAATTATCAGTGTGGGTGGATAGATTAAACAAAGCTGTGACTGCATCTTTCTTTCCTCTTGCTGTCCCTTCTTTCAACAGCCCCGCTAAAGCTTCAACCGCTCCATACTCATCCGCTATTCGCTTTTTATATTCGTGAACCGCAGAGAGGCTAAACAATGTTGCCGCAGCATTTTCCCTTGCCTCGGTTGTGTGCCCAAATCTCAAAACTTGAACGATACAGCCTAAACATCCTTCTTCATCCATTATTCGGCTCTTGTTCTTATCGTATATTGATAAGTTGAGCATTGCGGTTACAGAGTTCTCTTGTGCAACTGCATTTGAAGACAAAAGCAACCCTTTCAGATGGGGGATTGCCCCAGCTTCAGCAATATAAGCCCGGTTTTCTCTTCCAGTTTTTGCTAACAAACGTATCTCGCGAGCAGCAACAGTTTTTGCTCCCTGCGACCCACTTGCTAATTGTTGAATGAGAAGAGCAGCCGTGGCCTTATTGGCTTCAATTGCAGCCTTGCTTGCTGAAGCTGCAGCAAAAGTTTCAGCAGTGGAATCGGCACTCTCCGGAGGGTCATAAGGTATTCCATGAGCAGTGCACCACTGCACAATCAAGCTTCTAAGAGCCCGATTAGGCACAAGCCGGTTGTGAATAAGCATCTGCCCTGTTTTCGGACAAGTACAATGCCCTTCGTCCACCCACCTTGTTATCGAAGCTCGATCATAAGTCTGCCCTGTAGAAATTATTACCGGATCTGTCATCAAATCCAATGATATCGGGCAACAAAAGTCCTTTGGAATTGTGAGAAATGTGTCTGCAATTTCCTGAGTAATCAACCCTCTCTTCGGTTTCTTCTGTTTTCCACTTCTCAGTTCCACTTCATCCTCCTCAAACCCAAATAACAAGAACATACAATACCGAGTCAACGCCACAAACCCATTAAGCAGAGACACAGTAGGTTCAATATCTCCTTCATGATTAATAATCTGTTCTTCCAAAAACTCAATTTCAACCCTAAAACTTTTTGAGCCTCGAATTCCCAATTTTTCCACAAAAAAGGAATACAATTCAACCGGATCAGGAATTCTACCGTTGTCAAATTCATCAAGAAACGAAAACAATTTGAGTCTCGATGTTTCATCATGTTTATCAATCAACAATTTTGACTTTCTGGAGTGTTTTTGCAACAATTCAATTTGTTCTCTAATATCATCACTCAAATTCAACTCAATCAAAGGGAAAACATCCAAAAGAGTTGAAATTTCTTGATTGAGATCATGAAAATGTCCTGAAATCGAATGGTTCTGAAGCAAAAGCCACAACTTACTCGAGTGAAAGCAGTGATCGAGAAGTATCTTGGATCGATACAACAAGAGGTACGATTCCTTGAAGCAGACAATCGCCGTCAAAGACAACCTCGAACTCCTCGAACTCGAATCGCGAAGATACTCCAACAGAACAACGAAGATCTCCAACTTCCGAATCAACGACCGAGAATTCTTTCGCTGAAACGGTAAAGCCCTCCCCGAGAACGACGCGACGAGCTCCGCTGAAACCAAAGCTAGGGTTTCCACCAAAGCCACCTCCGTCAGATCCACCGGCGCCAAGAACGCCTCCACCGACGGCGACCTCCTCCTCCTCAGCGACGAAACTATTGCCGCCGACGCCATAACCAAATCTCCCTCTCTCTCTCTATATGTATACGTATATATATATATATATGGATGTCTCTCTCTCTCTCTCTATATCGCAGCTTGAAACACTGGATCTCTTGAAATTTCTATCTCCATAAATAGCTCTGCAACAAGTTGAGATTGATATGCTGAGCCTGAAATGGGGATTTCTATTATGGAGAAAAGTTTTATACCGAATCACGCGTGATACGAAGGAGAAGAAGAAGAAGAAGAAGAGAAATGGGTGGAGATTGGGATTGATGATTTGACTGAGATTCCAATATGCAGAAAAGGGGTGGTTGATTTTTTTTTTTTTTTTCTCTCACTAGGAATTTCGATGCAGCCCTCTCTCCCTCTCTCTCTCTCCCTCTATGTCATGACAATGACTTGTTTTCATAGAACATTGACGAAGGAGGGATTATTGTGGAGTATTCTTTTATCCATATTCGTGTCCATTCGTTTTATTTTATTTTGTTTTATTTTATTTTTCCAGCTTGCACTGTATTTATGGACACCATTATATGTATTTACTTGGCTTACTTTCGTACACACAAGTATTTTATTTCTATACTTTTTAACCTTTTTTTAAAAAAAAATTTATTGATAAATCTTATTTAGAAATATTCTAGTTCAAAAAATTTATGAAGGAAATTTATAATCTATTTAGTTTTATATATTTATACTTTTATTTTATAAAGTCTTATGTATTTATATCTTTATTTCATAAGATCTTTTTTCTTAATTTATACTATTTTTTTAAACTCTTACACCCTTATATCTAATATTGATATACATTAATTACACATCACTATTTAATATTGATGAAGGAGGGATTATTGTGGAGTATTCTTTTATCCATATTCGTGTCCATTCGTTTTATTTTATTTTGTTTTATTTTATTTTTCCAGCTTGCACTGTATTTATGGACACCATTATATGTATTTACTTGGCTTACTTTCGTACACACAAGTATTTTATTTCTATACTTTTTAACTTTTTTTTTTTTGAAATTTTTATTGATAAATCTTATTTAGAAATATTCTAGTTCAAAAAATTTATGAAGAAAATTTATAATCTATTTAGTTTCATATATTTATACTTTTATTTTATAAGGTCTTATGTATTTATATCTTTATTTCATAAGATCTTTTTTCTTAATTTATACTATTTTTTTAAACTCTTATACCCTTATATCTAATGTTGATATACATTAATTACACATCACTATTTAATATTGATATACATTACACATAAAAAAATTAAACATGGTTCTTTATTGATTGTCATTATGTTTTGATAGTTCTCATTCATTCAAATGTTAATTATACGTGATGACGTAAATGTGAATGTTCACATCAGATGACGTTAATGTTCACACTAAAATATATGAATGTGAATACAAATGCTAATGTTCATAATGTTAATATCAGATTATGTGAATGTTTATGTTAAAAACATATGAATGTGAACACAAATGTTAAAATTCATAATGTTAATATATATATATATATATATTTTTCATAATTCATGTGAACATTCACATTCACATTCATATATTTTAATGTGAACATTCACGTCATGTTTATATTCAAATGAAAGTTGAGACTTGTGGTTGTGCAATTTGATTTAATGTTGATGTAAACCTTAACATCACCTTTATCATAACATCATCTGATGTGAACATTCACATTCACGTCATCTAATGTGAACATTCACATCATCACATATAGTCAACGTTTGAATACATGATAACTATCAAAATATAATGACAATCAATAATGTATGGGAACTACCAAAACATAATGACAATCAATAAAGAATCATGTTTAATTTTTTGTGTGTAATATATATCAACATTAAATAATGGTGTATAGTTAATGCATTTTTTGGGGAGTGAAGATATAATGACAATTAACATTAAATATCAACATTAATGGGAGCATTTGAGATTTAGGGTGTTTTGATTTTCTTACTTCAAATAGAACCTAATGGAATAGTAAAGAAAAATATGAATTGGATGCTATTTTGGCTTAATTTGGGAAAAGGCTCTATACGGTTTCTTTTTTTTTTTTTTGGATAAATTATAAATATATTTTTGAGGTTCACTTAAAATGAGAGTTACTTTTGTGATTTAAAAAATTACAAATATTTTTTATTAAAATTTTATATTTAATCAAATTAATTTAAAAAAATAAAATTCTTAACTGTTCTCTTATACAATAATAATATCATCTTAATTATTAATTAAAATAAATTTTTAATATCATTAAAAATTATTAATTGACTTGATAATTTTTTACTCATTCCATCCCAAAATATTAGTCTTTTTTGGATAATCTAACTTTTTTTAGTAGTACAATTATAACATTTAATTTTTCAAAACAACCTTTGATAGAACAATTATTACACTTTAAAAATATTAATGTTAATGAATTTAAAAGAATGGCAAAATAAAACATTCATGTTATTGTAGTCCTTATTTTTTGAAAGTAAACTAATATTTTAGGAGACTGAAAAATGAAATAAAGCACTAATATTTTGGAATAGAGGAAGTAACAAAAGTGGCTATTTGTTATTAAATTAAAAACTTCAAGGGGCGAGATGTAATTTTTAAAATTACATAGGATAAGTTGTATTTTAAGAAAATCTCAAGGGGTGTATTTGTAATTTATTCTATTTTTTTAGGAAAAGCATTTTTTTTTTTTAATAAACTGTATCCACATCCTTTGAGATTTAGTAAAAATATAATTAATTTCACACTTTTGACATAATTATACCAGTCCCCCTTAAAGTTTTAATTCACATAATAGTTTAGCCACTTTTTTATCAATAATTCGTTAGTTGTATGAATGCAAAAAAAATATATTTTCATCAATTTTTTTTAAATGTATATGTATTTTTATTTATTATAATGTCTACCCACCATTTACATTAATTTCGATCATTTTAATCTTATTAAAAGGGAGATTAGTGTATTTATATCAAAAGTTCTAAACCTCAATGGAAGTGAGTGTAGTTTACCCTTTTTATTTATAGAAGGATAAAATTACACAAATCTTTCTAAAATTTAGAGGAAAAAAAAATACAAGAAGCCCAACAAGTTTTGATATAATTATAGTATTAGATTTTTTTTAATATTTTAATTCACATAACACCTATCTATTTTTATTAGTAATTCGTTAAACATATGGATAAAATATTAATGTTATCATGGTTTTTAAACTGAAAGACATATTGTCTTATTTATTTTTGTGTCCATCTATAAATTTCAATCACTTCAATATTACTAAAAGAAATGTCACCATAATTATGCCAAAATTATAAAATTTGCTATATTTTCTCTTAACTTTATGGATACCATTATGTATTGACTTGGCTTACTTTTGTACACACATGTATTTTATTTCTATACTTTTTAACTTTTTTTTTTTGGATAAATTATAAATATATTTTTGAGGTTCACTTAAAATGAGAGTTACTTTTGTGATTTAAAAAATTACAAATATTTTTTATTAAAATTTTATATTTAATAAAATTAATTTAAAAAAATAAAATTCTTAAATGATCTTCTACACAATAATAATATCATCTTAATTATTAATTAAAATAAAATTTTAACATTATTAAAATTTATTAACTGACTTGATAATTTATTATTCCCACCACTCCAAAATATTTGTCCTTTTTTGGATAATCTAACTTTTTGTTAGTAGTACAATTATTATATTTAATTTTTCAAAACTACCTTTTGATAGAACAATTATTACACTTTAAAAATATTAATGTTAATGAATTTAAAAGAATGGAAAAATAAGAAATTCGTGTTATTTTAGTCCTTAATTTTTGAAAATTGACTAATATTTTAGGAGAATGAAAAATGGAATAAAGCACTAATATTTTGGGATAGAGGAGGTAATGAAAGTGGCTATTTGTTATTAAATTAAAAACTTTAAGGGGCGAGATATAATTTTTAAAATCACATAGGTAATTTGTATTTTAAGCAAATCTCAAGTGATATATTTGTAATTTACTCTATTTTTTTAGGAAAAGTATATTTTTTTTATTTGAATAAATTATATTCACATCCGTTGTGATTTAGTAAAAATACAATTAATTTCAAACTTTTGACATAATTACGCCAGTCCTCCTTAAAGTTTTAATTCACATAATAGTTTAGCTATTTTTCATCAATAATTCGTTAGTCGTATGAATAAAAAAATAATATTGTCATCAATTTTTTTAAAATGTTTATGTATTTTTATTTATTACAATGTCTACCCACCATTTACATTAATTTCGATCATTTTAGTCTTACTAAAAGAAAGGTCAGTGTGTTTATAACAAAAGTGTAAGATTCGCTGTATTTTTCTCTATACCTCAATGGAAGTGAGTGTAGTTTACCCTTTCTATTTATAGAAGGATAAATTACATGGATCTTTCTAAAATTTAGAAAAAATACAATAAGTCCAACAAGTTTTGATATAATTATAGTATTAGATTATTTTTTTTTTAAGGTTTTAATTTACACAACACTTATTCATTTTTATCAGTAATTCGTTAAATATATAGATAAAAAAAATTAATATTATCATGTCTTTTATACTAAAAGGTATATTTTCTTATTTATTTTTGTGTCAATCTATAAATTTCAGTCACTTTAATCTTACTAAAAGAAATGTCAGCATAATTATACTAGAACTACAGAGTGTGTTGTATTTTCTCAAAACTTTAGAATAAGTGTAATTTACCTTTATAATAAGCTAGAAGTCTTGTTTATAATGACTCTAAGAAGGTTTTTTTATTATTATTGTATTTAATTTACCTTTTTATTGTAATTTTCTCCAAACGTATTGTATTGTATTTAATTTATTGAATTTTTAAATTATTTCTTCACAAATATTTTACTTTCGGAGTACATCTAAGTAGCCTTAATCCATTAAAGCACTGATAAGAGTCTTACATTTCAGGTAGCCCTTCTTACATAATTATTAAAATTATGGACGAAATCAAAATTTTATCATCAAAGAGTCAAATTTGAATAAAAAAATTTCACCATATGTACAAGCACACATGTACATATGCAATAAGACATGTAAGTTATATATATACACAAAAGAAATATTAAGCTTAATTACAAAAATATATATATATAAAATTTCACGCATTTTTTACTTTAAGCCTCAGTGTTTTTCACTTTAAACTCCAAAACGATTCTTCGTTACCTTACACAGACTAAGATGGATAGAATAGGGGGGACGCATTGAAACGCGAATGGAATTTCAGACTTAATTTGTCGAAATTGAAATATTATGATTTAAAGTGAAAAACGTGTGAAACCTTGATTTTTTTTTTTTTTTTACCCTTTATTTTACAAG